CTGACGGCGTGCTTGGCCAATTCTCCTGGTAGCAATAGTCGAACGGCTGTTTGAATTTCTCTGCTAGTTATCGTGGCACGTTTGTTGTAATGTGCCAATCGGGATGCTTCCGCTGCGATACGTTCGAAAATATCGTTGACGAAGCTGTTCATGATGCTCATCGCTTTGCTGGAAATACCGGTATCTGGATGTACCTGCTTCAGCACTTTGTAGATGTAAATTGCGTAGCTTTCCTTCCTCCTGCGTTTCTTTTTCTTATCAGACTTGGAAATATTTTTTTGAGCCTTACCGGCCTTTTTAGCTGCTTTACCGCTAGTTTTGGGTGGCATCGCGTTTCGATTTACACAAAAAGTACGATCTTTACTGACACAATATCGTGATCTATAATGGAAAGGTGTGCGGATAAACGGCGAGCTTTAACAGCCACGACGTTACCGACATAGACTCCGCCCCTTACGGGTGACCGACAAACGAAAACGGTGATTGGTCGGAGTAGTTATATAAATATACTCGTACCTAAAGACATTGCCATCCCCAGTTCCGAGCTAGCAGCCGTCACGAGCATACACTTGTGCGACTGCGACCCACCCGGACATATTGAGCAATCTTATTGCAATTTTCATTGCGATAGATTGTTTGTTTGCCATCTACGATGGCAAAATTGAGAAGCTGGCTAACCAGCTGAAAAAAGAAGGATGCGTTCGCCATGCTGGAAGAGCAGATGCGAAACCTGCAAGAAGCATTCTTGCAGGCCAGACAGGAAATTGAGACCTGAGCGGGAAGCTCCGCAGGGCCAAGAAGAAGGCCGCAAAGAGACAGGAGAAGAGGAGGAAGAGGACCACCAGGCGACATCGGACGAGATGGACGCCCAAGAAGAGGGCACTCAACAGACCGAAGGACCGAAGGAAGAAAGAAGCCGAGAAGAGGACGGCACACCGACTTCAGTGTCGCCAGAGACGGAGAAGCGGGTGCGAGTTTCCTCCGAAGAAGAAGAAGAAGAACCCAGGCAGCGAAAGATGCCAGCTGCCACAAAGAAGAGTGGTCCTAGAGCAACCAGGACCACCGAGGCCCCATGGCAGGAACAGGAGTTCCGCCAATCAACATCGAGGGCACGCGCTGATTGGTCATCCTTGAGTAGGATGATGAACAGCAAGGGGATTCAATTCTCCAAAGCGAGGACGGCGGGTACCAGTGTGAAGGTATTCAAAATACACAGCTGACTACCGTCAGCTAGTCGCACTGCTTGAATCCATCAAGCGGCCCTTCTTCACATATCAACTGAAGGAGGACAGGATGGACCAGAGGGTCATTCGTGGGCTTCCGAGAGAGAGTCAGTCATGACATCAAAGAGGATCTGGAGAGCCAAGGCATCGCAGACGCCGTGGTTCAGCAGCTGACCTCAAGGACCACAAGAAGCCACTTCCGCCTTCCTCGTCAAGACGAAGATGCCGGAAAAAGCTTGCAGAGATCCAGAGGCTGGCCATGCTCACGGTCAGCTTCGAGAGGAAGAAAAAGTCTTCCGAGCCCAGCCAGTGCTACCGCTGCCAGCGGTACGGGCAACACAGCGGAACTGCCGTCTCGCTGAACGGTGCGTTAAGTGTGGAGAGGACCACAACACACCGCGTCTGCCAGCGCCGCCAACAGGGCAACGAAACGCCAAGTGTTGCCTCTGTGGAGAAGGCCACCCGCCAACTACAAGGGATGTAGTAAGGCGCCGAAGAAAGCTGCTTCTGCCCCCAAAGCAGTCCCCACCACAAATAGGACTTCTTACGCCCAAAAAGTGAAGAAGCCTATGTCCACTTCTGCCCCAGCAGCCGCCACTGCTACTGGAACTACTGCGCAGAAGCAACACGGCGATGACAGACTGCTAGCAATGATGCAAGCCATCATAACCCGCCTGGATGCACTCGAGGCCAAGATGCAGAACAAGCACTAGACCCGAAATGTCTACAGGTCAAAACGTAGAATCTCTACGCATTATCTCCTGGAACATCAACGGTTTCAGGGCACGGAAACCAGAAATCCAGGAGATACTAGACCAGTACCAACCAGAGGTGATGGCCATCCAAGAAACGAAGTTGGATGCTGCCCATAGTCTGACGTTCCCGCGGTACGAGACGTACCGGTACGACAGAAGGGGCAGAGGTGGAGGAGTCGCATTACTCGTCAAACGTACCTTGACGAGTCATGTCCCTCGACGATGCCGCAGACATAAATGGGGACGGAATCACGGTCCAGGTCCATCACAACCACCGTCCCTACAGAATCACCTCCCTATATGTGCCACCAGGGGAGGCCCTAGACGAAGATGACATCGCTGACCTCCTGAGAGGCCCAGGAGCACGCATAGTCATCGGAGATCTAAACTGCAAGTCTCCGGCTTGGAACAACAACGTCGAAGACAGGAATGCAAGGCAGCTCCAGGAACACGTCGATGCCCTGGCGGGGGTCATCGTCGGTCCGGAGCAACCAACCTACATTCCATTCGGCCTTGGGCGACCTGCGGTACTGGACATAGCCATCCTCCGCAACATCAGAGAGGAGTTCGAGATAGAGACCCTGGTGGAAGGATCGTCGGACCACAATCCGATTCTACTAACACTTGGTACAGGGTCTAGAACTCGAGATAGCTTGAGCACCAAACGGACGAACTGGAACCTTTACAAATCCAACGTCCAGAGGAACATCACTCAAATTCCAACCATCCGATCAGCGGAGGAACTGGACAACGCAGTAGAGGAGCTGGAGAATGCTGTCCTGCGAGCGCACGAGGGCAGCACCCGCTCCGAGACTACGGCAGTTCCTAGATACCTAAATGGTCCAGCACCGCACCATATTAGGCACCTGATCAGGGAGAACAGAAGACTCAAGCGAGAACATCTCCAGCTGTTGACAGAGGAGTCGAGAGTTGCGCGAAACAGAGCATCGTTAGCTCTGAAGAACGCACTCGCGGAACTCCAAAACAACAGATGGAATGCAGCCTGTGCAGAACTAGAGACCCAGGATGGTACGGCCTGGTCTATGCAGCGAAAATTTCGTCGTCAGCGCACCACGATCCCCACTCTTCACGGCCAACGCGGCTTGGCCTACTCCAGTGAAGAAAAAGCCGAAGCATTCGCCGATTCGCTAGAATCCGAATGCAGACTCAATTACCATGAAGACGAAGACGACAACCACGAGGAGGCCGTGGAAGTCGCAGCCGAAAACATGAGGAGTCGACCACCTGGCCAGGAGACGGATCACCCCTCCAGTCCGGAGGAAATCCGTCTGATCATCCGCAGGTTGAAGGTCAGAAAGGCGCCGGGAAGGGACGGCATCAACAATAGGATGCTGAAGAACCTTCCCACCAAAGGCATTGCTGCGCTCACCAACATCGCCAATGCCACTCTGAGACTTAACCACTTCCCGCGGCGGTGGCGGGAAGCCCAGGTTATAATGCTCACCAAGCCAGGCAAGGACCGGAAGTTGCCCCAGAACTACCGGCCCATCAGCCTGGTTTCCTCGGTGGGCAAAGTAGTCGAAAAGGCTATCGCCGTTCGACTAGAGAAGCAGGCAGAAGAACTGCAACTTCTCCCCCCAGAGCAATTCGGCTTCAGATCCTCCCACAACACGGAACTCCAAGCGCTACGACTGACGGAAAACATCACCAGCGGCTTCAATCTCCAGGAGGCAACCGGTCTCGTCCTGCTGGACGTGGAACGAGCCTTCGACCGAGTTTGGCACGATGGACTCATCGCCAAAATGGAAGCCGCCGGAATCGATGCGAACATGTGCCAACTGATCCAGAGCTATCTAACACAAAGATGGTTCACGGTGAAGATTGGTACATGCCATTCAACAAGACGTCAGCTGGAAGCAGGCGTGCCCCAGGGGTCAGCCTTAGCCCCCCTGCTCTACAACATCTATACTTACGATGTGCCGAAGACAGCTGACACAATGCTGGCCCTATATGCAGACGACACTGCTATAGCCGCCAAGCATAGACGACCCGAGATCATCCGTAGGAGACTACAGGGTGAACTGGACCAAATTCAGGACTGGTGCGTGAAATGGAAAATCCGCATCAACGTCCAGAAGACGCAGGCAATCTTCATTCAACGAAGAAGGATTGCAAGACCTCTCGAAGCATCCATCTTCGATGAAGATATCCAGTGGAGCGACAATGTCAAATATCTGGGGATCGTTTTTGACAAGTCCCTCACCTGGAAAGCGCACATAGAAGCTGTCATCGCAAAAACCAGAGCAGCCATGGCTCAACTCTATCCATTACTGGGTAGACACAGCCAGATGCCGCTAGCGACCAAGCTACGGCTGATCAAGGCCATCGCCAGACCTCAGCTCGCTTACGCCTCCGCGGTCTGGGGGTACGCTGCCCCCAGCTACCGCAAGCGACTTGCTGCTCTAGAGATGAAGCTACTCCGGATCGCCACCAATGCACCTTCCTACGTAAGGAACTCAACCTTGCGTAGAGACCTGCATTGGGATACCATCCACGAGTACATGAGGAAAAAAGCGGAGAAGACCTTCGAGAAAGCTCAGGACCACCCGAACGAGCAGCTACGATTCCTCATGGACTACGATCCGGACGAGAGGCCTCGCAACCGCAGAACCAGGTACCCCAGACCAAGGTCCCAGTTGGCACCCGCTAACTGGAACCTTGACTAGGAGACTAGGAGAATTTGCGGCTGCTCCCCCCCCCCCACGGCGTGGATGCAGAGGACCAGGAACCACCGGGACCAGGACCAACCAGGACCAGGACCCGCCACGACCAGGACCCACCAGGACCAGGACCCTTCAGGACCAGGACCAGGAACAACATATTGGTAAGATGACTTGAAACTCTTGATTTTTCGAAAACAAGAGTTTCAAGAGAAACTAGCAGACCCTCTATCGATGATCGCTTAACGACATCGATAGAATGTGCGAGGTAAAGGGAACCAACCCGGCGTTCCCAGAGACTGAAACACATGAGGAGACGTTGTAGCAGACCGCAGGTCACGCACAACACATGGCCTACCGAGACGCTGATGAGTCGGGCCACGCGGAGGTTTAGGGTTTAGTGGGTATTAGGTGATCTCTTCAAGACCCTGGAGCCCCACACACGTCGTAGCTCGTGCTATGGTATGGTGCGTAAATGCATTCCCCCCTCGTTAAAAAAAAAAAAAAAAAAAAAAAAAAAAAAAACATTGCCATTCTATTCTATTAATTCGGTCAACGACAGCAGATTGTAGTCGTCGATTCGCAAGTCAAAAAAGAAAATAATAAACAAATAAACATGTCCGGACGAGGAAAAGGCGGAAAAGTGAAAGGAAAGGCAAAATCCAGGTCTAGTAGGGCCGGTTTGCAATTCCCTGTAGGTCGTATACACAGATTATTGCGTAAAGGAAACTATGCCGAACGCGTCGGTGCCGGAGCTCCTGTGTACCTTGCCGCCGTTATGGAGTACTTGGCAGCCGAAGTGTTAGAGTTGGCCGGCAACGCTGCTCGCGACAATAAAAAAACCAGGATCATTCCACGTCATCTGCAGTTAGCAATCAGGAATGATGAAGAATTAAACAAGTTACTTTCCGGCGTAACTATCGCCCAAGGCGGAGTTCTTCCGAATATTCAGGCTGTCCTATTGCCGAAAAAGACAGAGAAGAAAGCCTAAATAATAATAATAATAAGAAAATAACGTCAAAACTAGAAATCGGCCCTTCTCAGGGCCACACAATTCGTTTGTTGAAGAAAAAATAGAGATCATCGGATCAGGAAACAAAAAAAAAATCACGTAATATTTTGCCGATATTCCTTCATGCTGTTTGGGATTCAAGTAACAACAGCCCAATAACCGCATGATACAGTGTGATGTTACGTTTCTACGATACGGATCGTGACATGGAAAATGCAACAAATAATACCAATTCTTACTTACCGTAACATTTTATGTTTACCTAGCATCGATGGGTTGTGGAGCTCGACTATATGGAGATACCTTGGAGGGATAGTTACTTTCTAGAGGTACTGTCGGAATGATAGAACTTTATTCCAACGCAATTTTACATACAATGCCGCTAGTGTCTATAACGACAATCACGTTAACTCTCCCTCTCCCCCCCCCCCCTCTCTCTCTGTCTCACACATTGCTCTTCCCCCCACTCCTCAAGGGTATGAGGTTGCCTGGAACAGGGGTGGTGGAGGGACCGCACAGGGTAGGAGGGTGTGTGGTGTGTGTGCGCGCAACATCAGTTCCGAGCTAGCAGCCGTTGCGAGTGTATACTTGCACGACTGCGACACACCCGGACATATTGAGCAATCTTATTGCGATAGATTGGTTGTTTGTCATTTACGATGGCGAAAATTGAGAAGCTGGCTAACCAGCTGAAAGAGAAGAAAGATGCTGTCGCCATGCTGGCAGAGCAGATGCGAAACCTGCAAGAAGCCTTCTTGCAAGCACAACAGGAGATCGAGGACCTGAACGGGAAGCTCCGCAGGGCCACGAAGAAGGCCGCAAAGAAGACCGAAGAAGGCGAGGCAGAGGACCACCAGGCTACGTCGGACGAGATGGACG